AAAAAAAAAAAAAAAAAAAAAAGCTTCCGGGCTATGCATTCCCTGCTATCAAGGAAATACGTATGGCTATGCAGAAAGATTTAGCAACAAAAATGTTTACTGTAGTGTTGCCTACAACACAAAAGATTGGAAGCAACCTCAATATCCAACAACAGGGAAGTTGTCAAAGTAAATTGTAGGTACTGGATGACTTTAAACTGATGTCCGCAAAGATATGACTAATGTTCATGGTATAAGTCAGTCATTCCAAAATGTTTGGTCTTTTTACACTCTTGAAGATAGGACCCCCAAGAACCTTTGTTTATGTGGGCTATATCTATTAATATGTTTAACTATTAAACATATTAATTAAAATTAATGAAATTAAAGCTAAGAAAAAATTTAAAAATAAGAATAAGCCCAGCCCATTACATGTCAAGCTAAATAACTTTATGAAAAATAACTATTCTTTTTTTCTTTTTTGAGACAGAGTCTCACTTTGTCATCCTCAGTAGAGTGGCGTGACCTCGTAGCTCACAGCAACCTCAAACTCTTGGGCTCAAGCAATTATCTTGCCTTAGCCTCCCAAGTAGCTGGGACTATCGGTGCCTGCCACAGCACTCGGCTATTTATAGAGATGAGGTCTCACTCTGGCTTAGGCTGCTCTTGGAACTGTGAGCTCAGGCAGTCCACCTACTTCAGCCTCCTAGAGTGCTAGGATTACAGGTGTGAGCCACCACACCCAGCCAAAAAATAACAATTCTCAAGAAAATTTAATGAGAAGAGTGGCAGTGTTTTACATTTTGCAAAGTCCTTTATTGTCTAGCTTCACAGAGGATCTGCCTCTGTGCTCAGGCTATGGCCATCTCACTGTCATGTAGCCTCTGGAAAATTCCACTATACACTTTTCGAGAGAGTGAGAGAATATATGGCTAATAACTTCTTAGCATTGTTATGAAAATGGTTTTGACCTCCTAGACCAGTGATTTTTTAGCCAGTATGCCATGTATACACTGGTGTGCCATGAGAGACTCTTAAGTGTGCAGTGAAAGTTTTAAAGGTCATTAATTATTTTTGAAAGAAGTTCAAAGCATGTTTTTTTTTTACTCTTTTTTGCTCACATAATTTGAATGTGCTATAAAAGTAGTTTGTTTTTTTTTTGAGACAGAGTCTCACTATGTCACCCTTGGTAGACTGCGGTGGCATCACAGCTCACAGCAACCTCAAACTCTTGGGCTTAAGCAATTCTCTTGCCTCAGCCTCTCAAGTAGCTGGGACTATAGGCGCCCACCACAACGCCCAGCTATTTTTTGGCTGCAGCTTCATTGTTGCTTAGCAGGCTCGGGCCAGGTTTGAACCCGCCATCCTAGGTGTGTATGGCTGGCGCCCTGCTGACTGAGCTTTAGGTGCTGCCTGCAAAAGTTTAACTATAGTTTCTTTTTTTTTTTTTGAGACAGAGCCTCAAACCGTCCCCCTGGGTAGAGTGCCATGGCATCACAGCTCACAGCAACCTCCAACTCCTGGGCTCAAGCGAGTCTCCTG